TTATTTTGTCCCATCGTAAGAAGCAACTCTATACCTGACCAAAATTTAGTATAGGTTGCAGAATGACATGTTTAATTTCATGTTAATGGTTCTTCAATAATGCGACGTCTGTTAGGATTCATCTGTTTAATATACCCACAGTGGTGAAGGGTATCATATAGTCGGCCCCGTCCGACTTTACTACTTTCCTTACCGGTTTTTAATTGGCTGAGAAAAATTTATGCAAAAATCATGTGCAGGTATTTTCCTGCCAAAAAATTCATTGGCCTGGAAATCCCCAAAAAATCGAACAAATAATCCGATCAAGAAAATCCACACAATGTGCAAAAATAAGTAACACAAATTTATAGAAATTTTAATTTGGGTCATTTCTCTGAATCATTTGTTTATTTATAGTCCAGGGGAAAATATACCAAAATACAAAAAAAAAAAAAAAAAAAAAATGAAACAAACAATTGAATGAATGATTTTTTAATGGCGAAAATTCTCAAGTGTTTTGAATTCAACGAAAATTTTTGTTTAGCCATAATTCTTCAATGTCTTCCTTGAAAAAATATTCCAAATTTTGTTTCGCACAAATAAAATTGCATTTTTTCGATGTTGATGATTTCCATTCAACAATGCATCTGAAATGCATTGTACGGCCAATTTTCAAGAGGTTTTCGGCAACAAAAATTGTAGTTTGCCTTTTTGACACAGTTCTGTCAAAAATATTTATTTTCAAGTGAATCTATATCCATAACAAAACAATTTAAGGCACTTGAGAATCTTTCACTTTCAGACAAACGGGAAAAAAATAGGTCAATTATTACTAATTCAACAGGAAGTGCATTTGGAGGTCTAATGAACGCTATGCCAAATTTCGTGTAAATCGAAAGACGAAAATATATATGGGAGCTATATCTTAAAAAGCGTGTTGAGGATCTGGAAGGAGAATTTTGAAAAGCTTATAGTATCAAATAGTGGTGTTGAAGAAGATACCCCAGAACCAATAAGAGATGATGGTATAGAGTGTATACCTCCTAGCCAAGATGAGATCATAAAAACAATTAATCGGCTCAAGAACAACAAAGCAGCAGGAGCCGATGGGTTACCAGCCGAACTATTCAAGACTGGTGGTCAGATGCTGGTCAGGAGCATGCACCAGCTGATAAGTACAATTTGGCTAGATGAATGCATGCCCAATGCAATTGGAACCTCAGCATCCTGTGTCCGGTGCACAAAAAAGGAGACAAGACGATACGTGCCAACTATAGAGGAAAAGGTCTCCTTCCCATCGCATATAATGTGCTATCCAGTGTGCTGTGTGAACGATTGAAGCTAATGGTCAATGACATCATTGGACCATACCAATGCGGCTTCAGACCTGGCAAATCCACCATTGACCAGATTTTCGCTCTGCGCCAAATCCTGGAAAAGACCCACGAAAAACACATCGACACATAGCACCTATTTGTAGACTATAAAGCCGCATTCGACAGCCCTATCCGTTCAGAGGTGTTTAAAGCCATGTCTACGTTCGGCATTCCTGCAAAATTAATACGGCTATGCTGGATTACTTTAAGTGGCACAAGATCAGCAGTTAAAGTAGGAAAGGACCTCTCGGAGCCCTTCAATACCGAACGAGGATTCAGACAAGGTGACAGTTTGTCGTGTGACCTTTTTAACATCCTGCTGAAAAAGGTCATACGAAAGGCAAAAGTGAACACGAATGACACTCTGTACACCAAACAACACATGTTACTCGCCTACGCCACCGATGACATCGACATAATGGGTTGAACATTGCGAGCGGTAACAGCCACCTTTGAACAAATTGAGAAGGAGCCTGCCAAAGTGGGTCGGGCAGTAAACGGCGAAAAGACCAAGCTGATGGTATCAACGCGCAAGACGTCCAGTAGACTCGGACCAACTGTGGAACTTGAGACCTACAGCTTTGAGGTATTTAAAGATTCTATACACCTTGGTACCGCAATAAATAAAACGAATGACATCAGTTTTGAAATTCGGAGAAGGATTGTTATGGCCAACCAATGCTACTATGGTCTGAGCAAATAACTCAAAAGCAAGGCTACCTCCCGCAGGACCAAACTCACACTCTACAAGACGCTGATACTACCCGTGCTGTTATACGGATATGAAGCATGGGTACTTACGCAAGCAGATGAGGCAGCTCTTGGAGTGTTTGAGAGAAAAATTCTCCGAAAGATCTATGGGCCGATCTGCGTTGACGGCGAATGTTGCCGTCGAATGAACCACGAACTCTACAATTAATACGCGAACATCGACATAGTTAGTCGTATTGAGCTGCAGCGACTACGGTGGCTAGGCCATGTTGTGTGGATGAATGTGAATGCCCCAGCTCAATAGGCATGTAAAAACGAGCCTACTGATGGTTCCTTTAGAAGGGGAAGGCCACGAATTAGATGGAAAGACCAAGTAGAAAACAATATCTTGGAACGTGGTCTTCCAAATTGGTGGATTTGCGCACAAGACCGACGCGCTTGGAAATCGTTTTTAAGCTCGGCATATGGAACAACCGTTCTGTAACAAGTCAGCTAAGTAAGTAAGTAATATCTAAATCTGAGCCAATTTTCTCGAAACGTAACACACATCATTCTAGACTCGATTCAATACGCTATGCCACATTTCGTGCAAATCGAATGATATATGCGGACTTTGGTGCACCATTTACCTTAAATCGGACGAAACTATATATGGGAGCTATATGTAAATTTCAACCGATTTCCCTAAACTTAGCACACATCATTATTGGCTTAGTTCAGTACGCTTTGTCAAATTTCGTGCAAATCGAAAGATATTTGGGGACTTTGGTGCTATATTTAAATCTGAACCGATTTTCACGAAACTTTGCACTCATCATTCTAGACTCAATGCAGTACACTATGCCGAATTTCGTGAAAAATGGAATGATATATAGGGACTTTGGTGTAGCATTCACATAAAATCGGATAAAAATTTATATGGGAGATATATCGAAATCTAAAGCGATTGTCCCCAATTTCAATAGGGTTCGTCCTTGGGCCAAATAAGTGACCTATGCCAAATTTCATCCAAATCGGATCATAAATGCGACCTGTACTTTGTTTACAATTTAACACCAACAGATGGACAGAAGGACGGATGGACGGACGGACGGAGGTGTATAAATCGACTTAGAAATTGATTCTATGCATATTCTCAAAAGGAATCATGTGTCTATCTCGTTTCCTTTTGCCTGTGACAAACATATGCACAAAGACATAATACCCTGTACCACAGTGTGTGGTGAAGGGTATAAAAATCCAGGTCTATTGTAGAGCTCAAGAAATATTTTTTAAAAAATTCACGCCTATTGTAGATATGGTGGACCTCAAAACATATATTTTTTGTTTAAAATCTACGACTAATTTGATTAAGAAATATTATTTAAAAAAAATAATAATAATAAACCAGTGAGCGGAGCAGTATAGTCGGACGGTGTCGACCATATGATACCCTACACAACTACCACGGAATTCTAACTTTCTGCGGATGTTTATTCCAAGCATGGACAATATTTCGTGATATTTGCACCATTTTTTCCGATTAGAGGTCATGAGAACCTCTTCCTTACACTGACATATTTTCCGAATATTACTAATATTCAGTACAACCCTTCTAATTACTTGTCCATATTCCCTTTACCGTTAGTTGTGTTGTGATGTTCGGCTTATAATTGTGGCCTATAGATCGACTTGAAAAACAAAAACACACAACAAATTAAGTTTTCGGTCCACTTCATCCCAAAATTATTATCTGATCATAACGGAAAATAATATGCGCTGTCCTTGATCATAACTGGAACCTCATGGAGAATTTAATAGCGACCAGCGCTATATTTCCGCCCGCTAGTGTGATAATGATTTACTAAATAATATCTGAATACATAAGCACCTGAAAATATTTAAATGTAACTCCCACATTCGAGAACATACGACAATATTATTGGTATCAATTTAAAGGTCAACCACTCCTCTTGGATATACTACTTCAACTTCTCGGGTCTTTGTCCTTCAGGGGTAAATCTATACGCTATAGAATATAATTTTTTTAATTTTTCACACAAAAGTCAGGGTCCATTTGACCCGCTAAATATTGACAAACCTTTATCAAAACAGGCATGCTTATTCTTTGGCCCGATCCCCTTCTCTATGTAAAAATTTCAATGTTCGGACCATAATTGCGGCCACTGGAGCGACCAGAAAAACGGACAAAAATTAAGTATTTGGTCCATTTCAACCTAAATATTAACCGATCTTTACCAACCGATCTTTATCTTCATTGGCCAGAACCCATCCTACATGCAGAATTTCGTGAAGATTGGTCCATAACTGTGGCCTGTATCGTGTTTACAAATTATAATGGACAGACGGACGAACGGACATCTGTGTCTAGATCGACTCAGCTAGTCGAGATTTGACGATCGGTATACTTAAAGGTCGGCCTTCTCCATGCAAATTTGGGCCATAATTGCGGCCTCTGGAGCGACTAGAAAATCAGACAAAAATAATGTTTTTGATCCATTTCATCCCCTAAATATTAACAGATCTTTACAAAAAACAATAGGGGTCTTCATTGGGCCGAACACATCCTACATGCAGAATTTCGTGAAGATTGGTCCATAACTGTGGCCTGTATCGTGTTTACAAATTATAATGGACAGACGGACGGACACACATGTCTAGATCGACTCAGATAGTCGAGATATGACGATCGGTATACTTAAAGGTGGGCCTAGGACCAATATTTCGTGGCGTTAAAAACTCTTGGGGCTGCACAAAACTGTAATACCCTGACAACATAGTTGTGTAGGGTATAAAAATCCACGCCTATGGTAGATATGCTGGACCTCAAAACATAATTTTTTAAAAATCTACGACTAATTTGATTTAAAAAAATATTATTAAAAAATGTATTAAAGGGTATTGTGTTGTGCCTGAGCAGTAATACGAACTTACCTGCTTCTACTAGAACTGCATAGCCTGTGAGTGACAATATCAGCAAACAGCACGAGGTGTATATCGATTTAGGCAGCATTTTGAGGTTATGTTTTTTTTTTCACAACTACAATTTTAAAGGTAAATATTTTTCTTTAATTAATTTTTTTTCACTATTTTCACAAAATTTTTTTTAAGAAACTATTTTTTTTTTTAAATTTGGAATTTCATTTTCAACACTTGTGATAATAATTTTTTATTTGTTGAGATTTATTAAAATGACCTTGTTCACTTTTTCAATTTATTTTGGTATTTTTTTTGATAGTTTGAAGTTTTGAAATCGATACGTTGGTATTTTGATTTTCAATTTATTTATTTATTTATTTTTGGTTATTTTTTTTTAGGTTAAACAAATATGTGCTTATTTATTGTTGTGATACTTTGTTGTTGCCTTTGTTGTGATTTCTCATTTGAAGTGATTTGTTTGATTTGGGAATTCAACAATTTTGTTTTTTTTTTGTTTGATATGTTGCTGTGGCGTTTTAATTTAAAACAATTAATTGATTGGTAAATTTATATTTTGTCGAAAATTGATTTGTCAAAAATGGGAAAGAAAACTGAAAAAAATCTGGAGTGTTGAAAAATTCCTTTCTTGGGTTCTTAATATTCAAATGTTGTTGTTGTTGGGGTTGTTCTAATGCTGTTGTTCTGCACTTTGTACTGCCTAAATTTCTCCTTTCGTCGATCAATGACACTCAGCGGTAGCCTGGAAATGAAATAAAAAAATAAATAAAAATATGAATGAATATTGAGTTGAGGTTTATTTGGATTCTATGTTTTTTTTATTTTTTTGTAGTGGTTGGTCAATTTTAAAATTAATTTAATTGCCATAAATTAAATTGTTTGCAATGATAGATTGATAGATGTAAAAAAACAACAACATTTATTCTGATAAATCATTGGTAAGGAATTTTGATATGTGATAAATGATGAAGATGAATATTTAAGTAAAAATATACACCAGTGAGCAGAGCAGTATAGTCGGACGGGGCCGACCATATGATACCCTACACAACTACAACGGAACTCTAACTTTCTGCGGTTCTTTATTCTAAAACTGGGCAATATTTTGTGATATTTGCACACTCTTGATCGGTTATAGGCCAACAGCTCCACTTTCTAACCCTGGCATATTTTCCATTTTTTTTCTTGAAGTGAATTTTTACGCCATAAAATAAAAAACTGGTCACTTTAGGTTTTGGTTGATTTGACCCTCTGAATATCATCGTCCAAACAGCCGCTCTAAGTATTTGGTCACATCCCCTTCACTTTGTAAAATATGCGATGATCTGCATATAATAATTGCCTCTGACTAATTGACTAGAAAATCTGTCAAAATTAAAGTTTTCCGTTCATTGCACCCCCTGAATGAAATCTCAACTTCACCGAAAACTATAGGCGTCGTCCTTGACCATAATCGGAACATCCTTGCACATAGTCACATTTACCTTATTATGTATAACTCACATATCTGAGCACATCCGACAATATAATTGGTATCAATTTAAAGGTCAACCACTCTTCTTAGATATACTATCAACTTCTCGGGTCTATGTCCTTTCAGGGCAAACATATACGCCATAGAATACAAATTTTGTAATTTTTCACGCTAAATTTTGACCGATCTTTATCAAAATAGGCATGCTTATTCTTTGGCCCGATCCCGTTTTCCATGTTACAAATCGCCATGTTTGGGCCATAATTGCGACCTCTGGAGCGACCAGAAAAACTGACAAAAATTAAGTATTTGGTCCATTTCATCCCCTAAATATTAATCGATCTTTACAAAAAACAAACGGGCAGAACTCACCCTACATGCAAAATTTTGTGAAGATTGGTCCATAACTGTGGCCTGTATCGTGTTTACAAATTATAATAGACAGATGGACGGATACACACGTCTAGATCGATTAAAGGTTGGTCTAGGACCAATATTTCGCGGCGTTACAAACTCTTGGGACTGCACAAAGCTATAATACCCTGACAACATAGTTGTGTAGGGTATAAAAATTCACGCCTATGGTAACTATATCTATTTCTCAATCGATTTTCACGAAACTTAACCCACATCACTCTACTCTCTATTCAAAACGCTGTGCCAATTTTCGAGCAAATCGAATGATTTTCAGGGACTTTGGTGCACCATTTACCTTAAATCGGACGAAAATATATATGGGAGCTATATCCAAATCTGAACCGATTTTCATGAAACTTAGGACACGTCATTCTTGTCTTAATCCAGTACGCTGTAGCAAATTTTGAGCAAATCGAAAGATATTTAGGAACTTTGGTGCTGCATTTACCTCAAATCGGACGAAAATATATATGGGAGCTATATCTAAATTTCAACCGATTTTCAGGAAACTTACGACACATCATTTCCGACCTAATTCATTATGCTGTACCTAATTTCGTGCAAATCGAATGATATATAGGGACATTGGTGCACCATTAACCTTAAATCGGACGAATATATATGGGAACTATATCTAAATCTGAACCGATTTTCACGAAACTTAACAAAAATCATTCTACTTTTAGGTCAGTACGCTATGCCAAATTTCGTGCAAATCGAAAGATATATAGGGATTTTTGTGCAACATTTGCCTTAAATCGGACGAAAATATATATGGGAGCTATATCTAAATCTGAACCGATTTTCATGAAACTTAGCACACATCATTCTAGAGTTAGTTCAGTACTCTGTGCCAAATTTCGTGCGAATCGAAAGATATTTAGGAACTTTGGTGCTGCATTTACCTCAAATCGGACGAAAATATATATGGGAGCTATATCTAAATCTGAAGCGATTTGTTTTCAATTTCAATATGGTTCGTCTTTGGGCCAAATAAGTGACTTATGTCAAATTTCATCCAATTCGAATATTAAATGCGACCTGTACTTTGTTTACAATTTAACATGGACAGACGGGCGAACGGACGGACGGACATGCATAAATCGATTCAAAAAGTGATTCTTTGCATATTCTCAAAAGGAACCATGTGTCTATCTCGTTTCCTTTTGCCTGTTACAAACATATGCACAAAGACATAATACCCTGTACCATAGTGTGGTGAAGGGTATAAAAATCTACGCCTTCTAAAGGCTTTGAAAAAGATATTCTTTAAAAATCCACGCTTTCTAAAGGCTTCGAAAAATATATTCTTTAAAAATGAACGCCTTCCATAGGATTCAAAAAAGATATTCTTTAAAAATCCTTTGAAAAAGATATTCTTTCAAAATTCACACTTCGAAAAAAATCTTTAAATATCTACGCCTTCTAAAGGCTTCTATAGTCCTCAAAAAAAAATTCTTTAAAAATCTCTCGCCTGCTGAAGTTATCGAAAAATATTTTTTTAATTCCACGCCTTCTAAAGTATTCGAAAATATATTTTTTTTTAAATCTTTGCCTCCAAAGTCTTGGAATTTTTTTAAATCCACGTCGTCTAAAGTCTTCAAAAAAAAAAAAAAAAAATAAATAAATTTTTAAAAATCCACTCCTTCTAAAGGCTTCGAAAAATATATTCTTTAAAAATCCACGCTTTCTAAAGGCTTCGAAGAAGATATTCTTTAAAAATCATAGCCTTCTAAAGGCTTCTATAGTCTTCAAAAAAAAAAAATATTCTTTAAAAATCTACGCCTTCTGAAGTTATCGAAAATTTTTTTTAAATCAACGTCTTCCAAAATATTCGAAAAGATATTTTTTTTAAATCCTTGCCTCCAAAGTCTTTCATTTTTTTTTAATCCATGTTGTCTAAAGTCTTCAAAAAAATATTCTTTAAAAATTCACGTCTTCTAAAATATTTTCTTCTTAAATCCACGCCTAGTCATTCTCTGTTCTTCTTCTTCTTGCCTAATATTTATTTCGGTCCTAAATCATTACTTTGGTCCTAATTATAAATTTTGATTTCATTTCCATATTTTTATCAACTCTCCGTTTTATTTTATTGTGAATTATTTTCCTTTCTATAATCCCCACTGCAGGATATCTACCTAATTCTCAACTGGTTACCAAAAAATGGCTTAATTCTTGTCCTTACCTTTTTCATAAATTTTTTTTATTGTTGTTTTTGTTGTTGTTAATGACTTTTTAATGGATTTCCCAGGAAATTCATTAAATTAACCTATTTTTATTAGTTTGTGAGTTTGAGTGTCACCGACAGAAATCAGTCTACTTCGAAGGCCTGCCAACCTGCTCAATGCTCCAAAAGAGACAAATAATTTTTTGTTTTCTGGGAATCCTTTATTTTCAGTTTTAATGCTTAGCTGGAAATTATTTAAATCGTTTCCAAAAACATTTCTTTTTTGTTTTTAATGGTGTGAACGTGTTTCCGTTTTCATGTTCTGCTGCTGCCTCTTCTTAATTATTTTTTTCTAATTTTTTTTTTCGGGGTCTATACACAGCAAGCGTATTTATTATTATTATTTTTATTGTCTTTTGACTTTTGTGTTTATGTTTTTATGTTGGCAATTTTTTTGGTGGCGGTGTTGTTAAGGGAAGGGGAAAAGGGGGAGAGTGGGTAAGGGAAAGGGTATGGAATTTATGTTCATAGATAACCTAGAAACCAAGATTTTTTTCATGAGCACATACTTGAAATTTATGAGTTCTTGGGCAAATATTTGAAATATTTAAATCTTTTCGGAGAAAGATAAACATATTCGCCAAAAATAAAGAGATAAAACGATTAACCCTAAGAAGAGATTAACACAAATATGGACCATGAGGAAGAGCCAGATACGGATAGGATCAACAAAATAAGGGAGCTCAAAGCCTATGGTAGATGCCTAAAAAATTTTTTAAAAAATCCACGGCAGAGCTCAAAAAATTTTGGAGACCTCCTATTGTGGACCTCAAAAATATTTTTTAAAAAATCTCCAACTATTTGGGACCTTGAAAAAATATTTTGTCTAAGTCCTTCATGCAATTTCTATTTAAGCCCTTTATGGGTTAAACATTTCAAGTGTGGCCTATTCCCAAAAAATATATAGAGGAACAAGACTAACAACAACATTGCTCAGTATCGCTAAACAGAAGTGTTTAAATTTGTTG